TAGTAAAATAAACTAGCTGTGGATTTTAGTGACTCGCTCATGTTTTCCCCTCTCTCCTCATTTTTTCTCACACTATTTTTAATATATATTTTTTAGAATAGTTGACATTTTTACTTATCGAAGATTGTTCTTTGCATGACCATTTCTTGATTACACCAGAATGAAGTGAAGAGAGGTAAATGCAGATGTTAGGCTCAGCGATCACCTGATAGATAGGCTGCGTGCACAGTTTGTTCAGAAGTAATATATATAATAAATGCATTTGATTGGTAAACCAAATTAAAATGTGGCATTTTCATCTCTAATGGTAATGCATGGAATTTATGGAAAAACTCCACTAAATAATAGCGCTAAAAAGTGAGGGGCGTGGTGGGGCTTTGGCGATCGGCGCTACCGATGTCCGTCAAGCTACTCCACAGCCAATCACGGGCCCCCTCCTTGCTCGGGCCCCGGGGCTTCAGCCCTGCCTAGCCCAATGGTTAATGCGGCCCTGCCTGTGACAGCACCATCTCCCAGCTGAAGGAGCTGAACACATTCTTCGCTCACTTTGAGGCACAAAACAGCACCACTGCACTGAAGACCCCACCTCCTCCTGGCGACCAGGTGTTGATGCTGTCCCCAGACAGCGTGAGGAGATCCTTCAGCAGGATCAACGCACACAAAGCTCCAGGTCCCAAAGAAGTCGTCTCCCTACTGCTTCAGTGACTACCATCTGGTTGCACTTACTCCTATCCTCATGAAGTGCTTTGAATGGCTAGTCATGCACCACATCAAGTCTGTCCTCTCCCCTCCCTTGACCCCTTCCAGCTTGCATATCAGTCCAACCGCTCAACCAATGACGCCATCGCCACTGCCCTCCACTCAGCCTTCACTCATCTGGACAAAAAAGACCCAAATGTTAGAATGCTGTTCATATACTTCAGCATTCAACACAATCATCCCTCAACAGCTCATTCACAAATTGGTCGAGCTGGGGCTCAACACCTCGCTGTGAAACTGGCTGTTGAACTTCCTGACTGGGAGACCTCAGGCAGTACGGGTCGGCAGTAACACATCCAGCACCACAATCCTGAACACAGGGGCCCCCCAAGGACGTGTGCTGAGCCCCCTCCTCTTCACTCTGCTGACCCACGACTGCACAGCTCCAACCTTTTCATTAAGTTTGCGGACAACATGATTGTGGTGGGTCTCATTAGCAACAGAGATGAGACAAACTACAGGAGCGAGGTGAGCCACCAGGTCGGGTGGTGCAGAGACAACAATCTCTCTGAATGTGGAGGAGAGTGCATACTCAGCATGCTCCTCTGACCATCAACAGTGCGACTGTGGAGAGAGTGAGTCGCACCAAGTTCCTGAGTGTGCACATCACAGAGGACCTCTCCTGGACTGACAACACCGCAGCACTGGCCAAGAAAGCACAGCAGCGTCTCTACTTCATTCGCAAACTGAGGAGAGCCAGAGCCCCAGCCCCAGCCCCCATCATGTGCACCTTCTACAGAGGCACCATCGAGAGCATTCTGTCGAGCTGCATCACTGTGTGGTATGGCGCCTGCAACGCATCCTGCAGCAAGACTCTACAACGCATAGTAAGAGCAGCTGAGAAGATCTTTGGTGTCTCTCTCCCCTCCCTCCAGGACATTTACAGCACCTGTCTCACTCGCAAAGCCCTCTGCATTACGGGTGATCCCACCCGGGTGATCCCACCCACCCGACACACAGCTTCTTCATTCTGCTGCCAACATGGAGGAGACTGCGGAGTCTCCAGGCCAGGACCAGCAGACTGAAGGACAGAAATCTAGTTTTTGTTCACTTCATAGTACAGAAACCGTTTTAGTTAAAATCACCAACGATTTGCTTAGGGCAGCGGATTCTGGTCAGTTAACCTTACTATTTTGCTTGATCTGAATGCGGCCTTTGATACGGTCTCACATAACATCCTACTAGACAGGCTGGCTTCCCTGGGAATTACGGGTACCTGTCTGACCTGGCTTCTTATGACAGTTTAAATAAAGTCTCTGAGCTCTCTGTCACTTTAACATTCTGATAAGCTCTCTTTGCACTACGCCCATTATATCTGCACTGTTTGTTATTTCACTGGTTTGCACTATATCTGCCATGTGCTGCTTTACCTATCCTTTTTTTTTTTTTGCATGTCCTTATTTGTATATTTGAATAGTTGTATTTTTATGTTATATTTTAATCTGTATTTATTTGTACTTTTACATTCTACCGTTAGTGTTTAGTGTTATCTGTATGCACCAAGGTTCTGAGAGTAACGCAATTTCAATTCTCTGTATGTGCTGTACATGTGGCAGAATTGACAATAAAACAGACTTTGACTTTGACTTTGATGTATTTTGTTAATATTGTCACATACATCACTCTGTTCAAATGTTCAGGAAGGAAAAATGAACATTCAAATGTAAAACATTTAGCTTCACATCACACTGTCTGATACTCATTATTTTACAGCTTCCCCTGTAAAGCCTGATCTGTTTCTCTATTATGATCCTCCTCACCTTCCATTCAGTAGATAAAGAAGTGTTTCCCATCAATACTGCAGTAATGTAATATGATGGATGTGATCTAAACTCAAGCTGCTAGTCAGCGAACTAGACAATACAACAAAAGTGACAGTACAGTAGCGCCCTCTGCTGCCTCTGAAATAATAAAGCAGATTCGGTACATTTTAAACTTTTGTCCACTAACACAAGTGCTAAAATGTAAGATAAAATAATATTTGTTAAATCGAAGAATGCATTACGGTAAGTTATTGTGTTTGTAACTCGCCATTCCTAATAATCCATGTGGTCTGTCTGAAATATATCAGCTTTTTGTGTGGATCAGACTGACATTTAAGTTGTTATTTGTTGAAACCACAAATATTTTGTGGTTTCAAAAAATAGTATCTCCACTGCTTCAAAGGCAAATCATTTAATATTTAATCAATATTTAAGTGTTTAACGTTTGCTCTATGAAAACTCTTGTACTGCAATAATAATATAATTCTCTTCTTTCCAGCCCTGAATCATGTCCAGCATCATCAGTGTGTGTTGTGCTGA